CCTCCACGGGCGCCGCGCACGCAGCTAAGACGAAGCCGGGACGAGGGCGGGAGCTGGCGGCTCTGGAGGGCGTCTCGGGCGCCGCCGCTCTGTCAGAGCGTTCCTGGAACGCTCCGAGGGCGTTCCAGGAACGCTCTGGAAGGGATCTGTCCTCGCCCTCGCCCCGTCCGACGCAGGTACGGCAGGTTCGTGTCGTGTCGACCCCGGCGTTGGTTCCTGACACCGCGCTGGATCGTTCAACCTTGAACGATCGGCCGTTTCCGCAACGTCCAATCGTTCAACATCGATCGATTCTGGGCCGCCGGCGGCGTTCAAGGTTGAACGCCGCTGGCGGGGTCGCCGCTGGTCGACACGTCGCGAACCTACCGTACAGAGAAAGGGAGAGAGCAGAGCTGAGGTCAGAGGGCACACGGCGAGGCGAGGAAGCCTCGGCGGCGAGCGAGGGGGGGAAGTGAGAAGGGGCAGGCCTTCTCAGAAGGCTCGGAAGTCCCCCGACCTTCGGAGAAGTTTTCTGAGCCTTCCCCGACGGCACAGAAACTTCTCAGAAGGCGCGAGGGGGTCTGAGAAGTCCCGCTGCCTTCTGAGAAGGCCTTCTCCTTCTCACTTCCCCCCCTCGCTCGCCGCCGACACACGGCGAGGCGAGAAAAACGAGAGGGCGCAGGGACGAAGTCTGAGTGGTGCCCCAGCTTCTTGTGCAGCTCGAAGGGGCCTCCCACCCGATTATGCGAGCGAGGCGCCACTGCATCACCGTCCACGCTGTTCGGCTATCGTTATCCGCATGTGGGGCGATTGAACTCTGCCACATTGTGAAGCAAGGCGTCGACAACATGTGGTGTCCACAGCAGCTAGGAGCACGAGGTCCTCAAACTGGCAGGCATGGAGGCGCCTGGACAACACAACTCGCTTCGACGCCATACTTCGTTAACACAGGCGCACGCTTACGGCAGGTTCGTGTCGTGCCGACCCCAGCGTTGGTTTTTGACACCGCAGGGATCGTTCAACCTTGAACGATCGGCCGCTGCCGCAACGTCCGATCGTTCAACATCGATCGATTCTGGGTCGCCAGCGGCGTTCAACCTTGAACGCCCGCGCTGGGGTCGCCGCTGGTCGACACGACGCAAACCTACCGTATGTATCAAGCAAGCGCAAGCCTTCATATGGTACCAATCAACTTGTAGCATGGAACGGCGATTCGCATCACAATTTCATTGCGCATAGATAAAACCAGCGCGAATAGACAGACCAACATGGCTTCCAAACAATCGGAGCTCTTCGATGCTGCAGCTATGAGCCATGCCGTGCTATGATCAGGAACACTCACACAAGGCGAGTGGGGCCCAACAGGCATATGAGAGAGACATCCATGTGTATATACATTTACACAGACACACATATACATACATAAATGAACATGTATACTGAAGGAGGGAGGGAGCGAGGGACGGAGGGAGAGAGAGAGAGAGATAGAAAGAGAGAACGCGCTTCACGTGCGTTCACGTCAGAAACATCGCCAAACGATATTTCGAGGGCGAGCTTCTTGTGATGAAAAAAGACGGCCTGCAGGGACTTATGAGAAGGGGATCTGGGACGGCAGGAAGTAGATTGCAGCATCCTTGATGCATTTTGGAATCACTCTGGTCCTCCTCCGCCTCCTTGATCCTCCTCCATTCTCCATCCCTCTTCCCGAGGAATACATCAACCCTGTCGCACCACGAGACGCATCCTTAGGGCCAGGCACGGCGGTGCGCTTGAGACATCCTGACAATCTACAATCCTGAAGATAGAAAGCTCCACCAAAATGTGGGGCTCGTGGTTTCCTAAGTCTGACTCTCGCCAAAGAGCCGAGCGCCGTGAAGTAATACAGCCACTTCAAGGTAGGAGGGCTGGTCGTTTTCAAAATGTGGCTCTCGCCTTTGCGCCGCGCGCATTTACCTCAAAGGTTCACAACAGCCTCAAGCATGGAGGGACGATTGCTTGAACAATGAGGCCCTCGGCCCGGCGCCACGCACATGATTCGGAAATTGTTTCGACAGCTTCAAGCATGGAGGCCAGAGGTTTTTGAAAGGCGGATCTCGTCCTAGCGCCGCTCACATTCGTCTTTAGACATTACAGCAGCTTCAAGGATGGAGTCCGGGGCCAATACTCAAAATGCGGCTCTCGCCCTAGCGTTGCGCAGAGTCCGCCTGAAAACTAGCCGCAGCTACAGGGACAGAGAGCGGCTCCGTTTCGGAATGGAGCACTCGCTTGAGACTTCCTCGCACTTAATGTCGGAAAGCTTAGAAACATGTGCCAGCTGCACGGATAGAAGGCAGTTCTGTTCCAACATCGGGCTCTCGTTTGAAACTCCTTCAAATTGAATGGCCAGATGCGCAATAATATGCCAAAGTTACACGGATGGGGGGCGGCTCCTTTTCAGAAGGGGCTCTCGCTAGGCACCTGATTCCTTTTCAAACAGGGGCTCCCGCCTGAATACCAGGCCCATAGGGCGCTTGTCTTTCGTAGGGACGTCGAGGAGGGAGGGACTTGGGATGAGAACGTGTACTGCAGCGTCGTTGATGCATCCTGCGTTTACTCTGGTCTTGGAGCCCGAAAAAGGCAAAAACCTTCCCGAACCCAGAACCTCGAACCTGCCCGTCCTTCCTGCTGGCCAGAACCAGCGCTTGGCCATCTCAGACCTCCAGACAGCTCAGCCTACGGTCCCTTCTCCTGCTCTGGTCCGTCGTTGACGCATCCTGGGTTTGCTCTGGTCCCTATCCTCCTTCCCCTTTCCTCCTACTCCTTCCCCTGTCCTCCTCCTCCTCCTCCTCCTCCTCCTCCTCCTCCTCCCTTTCCTCCCTTTCCTCCTCCTCCTCCTCCTCCTCCTCCCTTTCCTCCCTTTCCTCCTCCTCCTCCCTTTCCTCCCTTTCCTCCCTTTCCTCCTCCTCCTCCTCCTCCTCCTCCCCTCCTCCTCCTCCTCCTCCTCCTCCTCCTCCTCCTCCTCCCTCCTCCTCCTCCTCCTCCTCTCCTTCCGCCTCCTCCTACTCCTCTCCTTCCTGCTCCTCCTGGATACCGCCTCCACATCCTCCTCCTACTCCTCCTCCTCCTCACTCCTCCTCCTCTCCTACTCCACCTCCTCCTCCTCCTCCTCCTCCTCCTCCTCCTCCTCCTCCTCCCCCTCCTCCATGGCAGCCGCCCGCCACCCGCGCACCCAAGCCGTGTTCCATGCGTGGCCGCTTCCACATGATCACCTTCGCGGCCGGAGGGCGGGCCGGCGGGAGGGCGGAGAGCACGTTGAGCGAGATGACCGCCCCCCGAGGGAAGGGGGAGGGCGAGGGGAGGAGGAGGAGGAGGAGGAGGAGGAGGAGGAGGAGGAGGAGGAGGAGGAGGAGGAGGAGGAGGAGGAGGAGGGAGGAGGGAAAAGAGGGAGGAGGGAGGAGGAGGTAGGAGGGGAGGACGGGAGGAGGTATTTGGGAGGAGGAGGAGGGAGAAGGTAGAAGGTGAGGAGGAGGAGGAGGGAGGTGGAGGAAGGAGGAGGAGGAGGAGGAGGAGGAGGAGAGGAGGAGGAGGAGGAGGAGGAGGAGGAGGGAGGAGGGAGGAGGAGGAGGAGGAGGAAGGAGGAGGAGGAGGAGGAGGAGGAGGAGGAGGAGGAGGAGGAGGAGGAGGCGGAGGAGGAGGTGGAGTGGGAGGAGGAGGAGGAGGAGGAGGAGAGGAGGAGGAGGAGGAAGCGGAGGAGGAGGAGGAGGAAATCATCGGAGGGGAGAAACCGAGAATGAGGACAGGAAGGAAAGAGGAGGAGGAGGAGGAGGCGGTAGGAAAAGGTCGAAAGGGGAAGGAGAAGGAAGAACGAGGAGAGACGATGAGAGAAGATGATGTAAGAGCAGGGGGAGGACTTTGAGTTAGGATTGAGGGTCATGAGAACGACGAGGAAGGAGGAAAACCCACGGAGGACGAGAAGAGCAGGAGGAAGAGGAGGAGAAAGAGGAGAAAGGAAGACGAAGACGAGGACGAGGCGCGAAGGACTGGAGGAGGAGGAGGAGGAGGAGGAGGAGGAGGAGGAGGAGGAGGCTTTCCATCGGCTCCGCCCCGTCGACCGGCGGCAGTTCTCCTCGCCGCGGGCGCCGGCGCGGGCGCTCAAATCCCCCCCGACGAGGTCTTGCACAAAACACGCGTCCGGCTGCTCCGAATGGAGAACAAACTCGCGTGCATAGGCAGAGGACCTGCGGCAGTTCTTCTCGCCGCGGCCGCCGGCGCGGGCGCTCAAATCCCCCCCGACGAGGCCCCGCGCAAAACACGCGTCCGGCTGCTCCGAATGGAGAACAAACTCGCGTGCATAGGCAGAGGACCTGCGGCAAATCTTCTCGCCGCGGGCGCCGGCGCGGGCGCTCAAATCCCCCCCTGACGAGGTCCTGCACAAAACACGCGTCCGGCTGCTCCGAATGGAGAACTAACTCGCGTGCATAGGCAGAGGACCCGCGGCAAATCTTCTCGCCGCGGGCGCCGGCGCGGGCGCTCAAATCCCCCCCGGCGAGGTCCTGCACAAAACACGCGTCCGGCTGCTCCGAATGGAGAACAAACTCGCGTGCATAGGCAGAGGACCTGCGGCAGTTCTTCTCGCCGCGGGCGCCGGCGCGGGCGCTCAAATCCCCCCCGACGAGGCCCCGCGCAAAACGCGCGTCCGGCTGCTCCGAATGGAGAACAAACTCGCGTGCATAGGCAGAGGACCTGCGGCAGTTCTTCTCGCCGCGGTCGCCGGCGCGGGCGCTCAAAACCCCCCCGGCGAGGCCCCGCACAAAACACGCGTCCGGCTGCTCCGAATGGAGAACAAACTCGCGTGCATAGGCAGAGGACCTGCGGCAGTTCTTCTCGCCGCGGGCGCCGGCGCGGGCGCTCAAATCCCCCCCGACGAGGCCCCGCGCAAAACGCGCGTCCGGCTGCTCCGAATGGAGAACAAACTCGCGTGCATAGGCAGAGGACCTGCGGCAGTTCTTCTCGCCGCGGGCGCCGGCGCGGGCGCTCAAATCCCCCCCGACGAGGTCCCGCGCAAAACACGCGTCCGGCTGCTCCGAATGGAGAACAAACTCGCGCGCATAGGCAGAGGACCTGCGGCAGGTCTTCTCGCCGCGGCCCGCGGGCGCTCTCCCCCCCACGAGGTTCTGACAAAAAATGTCCGGGCTGATCCGAATTGTTTCGCTTTACACCGCCATATTTGTCAGCCCCCATAGGCCGCAAGGGCCCCGGGGAAACCCAAGACAAGGGCACCCGGCCGGGAGGGACGCGAAGCGTAAGGAATGTACAAAACTCCTTCTGCCACGGATGTGGCTCTTTTGGGAGTGCTGCTTCTGCCGCAGGCCACGGCAGCGCCTCCAGAAGAGGAGAGCCACCTACCCCCCCGAAGGGAAGCGGATTGCGACCAGCACGTCACGCCACACAGGGAGGGAGGGCGGGACCGCGAGACGCGCGGCGCCGCCTCCCAGGCCTGCGCGCGTAGAAAGGAACGAATGAGATGGGGTGGCCGCGAAAACCACATTTCCCGAATGCACAGCCTCCTAAGAAAAAACGCTTTCCGCTTTACACCGCCATATTTGTCAGCCCCCATAGGCCGCAAGGGCCCCGGGGAAACCCAAGACAAGGGCACCCGGCCGGGAGGGACGCGAAGCGTAAGGAATGTACAAAACTCCTTCTGCCACGGATGTGGCTCTTTTGGGAGTGCTGCTTCTGCCGCAGGCCACGGCAGCGCCTCCAGAAGAGGAGAGCCACCTACCCCCACGAGGCACACGTCCGGGAGGATGGCGCGAAGCGTGGACCGACGGGGACGCCAGCGCAGGATGCCAAGCCGTCTCAATGTTTTTCGCTGCGCAGCACAAAGGAATCACATTGGACGTTGCCAGACTGGCATTGCCTCTAAATTCGCCGGTCGGCTCGCAGACGGCTGTGCAACCGAGCACGCAGCACGGGCGGCGGCTTCCAGCAGGCGCTCTTTCCTAGCTGCTGCGGAAAACTTCGTGTAGAAGTTCCGCATCACATCGATTGAAGACCAGCCGCCCTGGCCCTGCACAAGCTCTTCGGGCAGGGACGCTGCGGTCTTCCACCACTGCGCCCCGCCTTTCCGCAGGGAGTGGCTGCCCACCTGTGCGTCGTTGAGGTGACGAGCGAGCATGCGCCGGAATGTGTCGGCGGAAACAGGCTTGAGATCGGCCACCCCTGTCACACAGAAGAAAAAACCCTCGACGTCCCCGCGCGTCTCGGCTCGTAGACGTAGCCAGCTCCGCAGCAACTTCGTCGGACACAGCGGCCCCAAAGCCTGGATCTCGGGCACCCAGACGAGCAGACCTTCACCGAACGGATCGTTCTTCTGCCTCCTGATCCTGAACTGGAACGCTGTGTCTTGGTCCACCACGTCAGACACCACGAGCGCCTGCAGCTCCGCAAAGCGGCGGATGCCGAAAAAAGCCAAAGCTATCATGGCCGCATCCCTCACGCCAGCGACAGAAGTCTGTGCCAGGCGACTCCGCTGCACTGATGTGATCTCCAACAGCGAGAGCGGTCTTTTCGCTCGGCGGAGCGAATGATCAGCCAGCTTCTTAAGACCACGCCAGAAATGCCAGGCTCGGGGGGTCCACGCGGCCTCGAAGGACTGCAGCAAATCGCGCTCGAGGTGCCAAGCCCTGACTGCAGCTTTGGCGGCGCACACTGAGCCCCACGGGCGCCGGAGAAACCCCGAGAAGAGCAACATCAGCTTGACTTCGTTGTCGCAAGGCAGAAGCGCCATCTGGGTGGACGACTCCGCACCGCTCACCGTGCCGCGGAGCGTGTTGTCGTAGCGCGTCCTGGTGCTGTCCTCCCACGCCGCGTTGAAGCACGCGTGGATGTCCGCCGCTGCCTTCCGGCGTGCCTCCAGCGTGGCCGGCGCGCAGTCTTCGGACAGGAAGGGCAAGGTTGGGCGCGGGCCTTGGAGTCGCCGATCGCCCAACCGGTCGGGGGCCACGAGCGGGCCGCCCTGCGCCGCACGGCTACTGGCCAAGAAAGCCAAAAGACCCTGAGAGCCGACAGCAGGCGCCTGCGGCGAACGCCCTGGCGGCGGGGCAGAATGTGGAGTGGGCCCCGCTGCAAGGGCACCACGTGGCCTCATCAAAGGGGCTGGCTCTTTCGGAACAGCGGGGACGGGGGCGACGCTGCTCTCAGCGGATCCCGTGGCATTCTTTCCGAAATCGTTTCTGTGAACGTAATCCTCCATGTTTGAGCCGACGTGACTACGGAACAGAGGCTCAAGTAGCGTGGGCAGACACCACTGTCAGAAAGGCGAGCTTCGGCTAGCCGGGCCTGCGCCATGAGCGGACACCCCATAGAGGCAAGAAAAATTTTCATCGGCAAAGCGGGCTGGGCACGACACGCCGCGGCACCGCTGTCAGTGGCACACGTAATTGTGTTTCGCAAGCGATTGCGCGGACTGCGCAACGCAGCCCGCGGCCGCCTAGCAGCTACGCCCAGATACGCAACGAAAGCTGCTGAAGGCAGGAGACTGGGACCTGGCAACAGCTACGTCCAGGTACGCAACGGTAGCCGCCAGGGCCGGGGCCTGGTCTGGAAGACGGAAATCAGTGCTTGCACTCCGCCACCCAGTGCTGCAGGTTGGTGGTCCTGCCGGAGGCCGTGCACTTGGTGCACGGCAAGACGCACAGATTCTTCATCTCTCGGCACTGCTTCAGGGTGTGCTTGACCACGCCTTTTCCGGACATCAGACAGTTCTTGCAAGCGTGATCCCTCAGAACCACAGTCATGGCGCTGCGGCTGTCGTCCGCCTGGTACTGCTTGTCACTCCACGACTGGAGTTTGCCGGGGGGCGTCTTTTTCTGCACGAGACCAACGAGTTCCTGGAGCAGGCGGTTCACCAGCTGCTTCCTGTCGCCACTTGGGTTTGGCGAGGCCGAGGCTGCCGGCCCATCGGAGGCGACGGAGAGCCTGGGAACCTTTGCCGGCGGTGGAGTGTCACACGTAGCTGCCTGAGTGCCCGAAGAAGCCGGCGCCTCACGCGAACGTGACACTGGCCCCCCGAATGCCGCCGCCGCCTCGCCCAGGATGATGTCCTGCGCAAAATCCCGGAGCAGCACCTCGTGCTCAAGGGTGGACGAAGCACTGGTCTTGGTCGTGCGCCGCTTGTATTGCTTGATCGTCTGGTAGATCGTGTCCATCAGCGCTGCCCTCTGGGCGGCAGCTTTCTCAGGGCCATTCTTCTTGGCCGACTGCACGA